TTCATGACTTTGGACGGTATCTACCTGACGATCTTTTCCAGCGAGGAGTAACTAAGTTCATTGAGAAATTCCAAGTACAAGATGATGAGCCTAAACTGTCTTATGAGCATGTGGAGTTGAATATCGATCAATTTCACAAAGTGGTTATGAGTGTAGCAACAATGAGGAATCGTCGTATGTTTAAAGTAAGTAGGACTATTATGATACTTTTTAAATTTCTTTTAATATTTTCATTACTTTCTTTATGAATAGAAAGATTATACATAGCCTAAATGGTAAAAATATAGTATTATAAATTTTCAAATATTGTTTATATATATTTAAGTATACAAACACAATACACATAAGACTACAGATTTCATACATACGCTGGAATATAATTAATAAAAAGCCAAAGCCGCTAAAAACATCATGTAAGCCACAAACATAAACATCGTCGTCACTGCAATCATAAATCGTTAAAAAAATATATAGGCCTAAATATAAGTGCTGTATATAAAAGTAATATGAAATATAAAGAACATACACACAGAAAAAAAACTACTAGAACTGCCAAGAATAAATGAGTATCAAAATCATATTTTTCTTCAAATGACAGAGGCTTAATGTTATGTTTTCTAGACAACGATCGCAATCTTGGAACCCAGTCAGCAAGATGAGCCCTCACTGACAGTGTGTAGGAAGGTACTACAACTTCCATTGATTTGAGAGACTTTTGAGAATTACTTGAATGTTCTAATGTTTTAAATGTATGCAATTCCTTAAAGTACATTAACTATTTAACATAGATTTAACCTATATTTTTCATCTCCTCCAGGTACTGAGTTTCCTTGAAAAGGAACTAAAGCTATTTTGTCTGAGTGGTGTACGAGGCATTGAATTGACGAGGTACATTGCTTGCCAATGCAGTTCAGACTCGGGTAACGCCCACATGCAAATTGTGCGCACGTTTGACCAGGATGTGCTGCCATGTGGAAGCAATATATTGAGGCGTTTTCGTCGACTATTTGGAGATGACATGCCACGAGTGCAAGGTAACGTACAGTTATGTTATGTCATTCAGGTCTGCTTTGGTAAATCTATTTTGGCAAAAATTAAACAACCGAATGAACTTATGCAGTAAAAAAGTGAGGTCTCACCACAAAATGAGTCACATCGTTGGTGAACACATATTGAGATATTCACCAAAACAGGCCAAAATGTGGTTCTTATACACCTTAATTTTAAATGCTCGCATCTCTGGATTTACTTATAGTAGGGAAGCCATTCAAAGACCAAATGAAAGCTTATAATGTGATCTATCCAAATATAATATAAACTCAATTTTTTAATTTCTAACCATAAGACTCATTTCGTGGCGAGACCTCACAAATATGTTGGCTGTAAATGTTACAATATAACACACATTAATGCATATTGACAAATGTTTAAAAAGAAACAAGCGACATATAGTTTCCTGTCGATTTGCTCTTTATAAAAGCCCAATGCAAAATATTCCGCATGCTGTAAGCTCTGTTATGGGAGAAAATAGTAGAAATAGAAAAATTACCAACGTGAAATGAACATAATTTAGCAAGGTTGAACAATTTGGAACAAATTTTGTTATCAAAGGTAATGTGTTGTTTTACCTCGATGTATTATTCCGTTACTCTCTAGATCGTCCACAGTCTCAGCAAGTAGTACATATACCAACAGGTATGTTTATGGATTTTTTTCAATAATGGATCACAGACTTTATATGTGATTAAGATGGTGCTGGTTTTATTGAAAACAAACATTTTGTTGCAACTAACCAGTTTTAAAAGTCATCTGTACTGCTGGATAATGGTTTAAAAGTTAATCTCATGCTATTATTTTTCCCGAATCTCCAGTCACTTATTTCATTATTTATTCGGTCTTTTAAACAACATTTGCATAAACAGAAAGTGAAAAAGTACTGACATTTGGGGAGACCAGGGATCAATTTCATTGGCATCATTTTTTTTTAATTTTTTTTTTTTGGTGAAAGTTTTAAATTTTTTTTAAATGGAGTGTCTAAAACTCATATCAGATACAGTTGGGATAATTATGTTTTCTTTATAATAATTATCTTGCATGTTAGGTTTTGTGGATGACGCCACCATTGTGACAGTTTCTGAGGAATTGAGTCTTGGCTGGAGAAGGTTTGGTGTCCGTTTGGGACTTAAGTGGTCGAAAGTGAACAGTTTCAATGCTGATGGTACACAGATTCATAAGGCTGCCGAAAGTATGATGAATTACTGGAGGAGCAACATCAGTAGCGATATTCATCAACGTAAAGTGTTGTGCACTGCTCTGAAACACCATGAGCTCAGTCAACTAGCTGAAGAATTGTTTGAGGGTGAAATTAACGAAAATCTCGTCACTCAGCAAGCAGGTATCTTAAGGATTTCAGAAATTTTATTTTTTTCAGGTATAAAAAACATTACGAAAGGAAGAACAAGTCTGGAATTCTTGTATTACAGAATATAAAAATACACCTATATAGAATGAGAAATATTGAAAAACATCTAAGGTTAAATTTTTGCATGCATGCAGGTCTGTGTTGTGCTGACTTAAAAATACATAGAAACCCTCACATTTTTTTCTGTAGCTCCTCATTAAGTATGTTTTTTACTCACTATATATTATCTATCATTTTTATTTAGGAAAATGTTTTAGTGATCAAGGTTTGCTGTTCATTTGTGACGACCTGAATTCCCTACATTGGAGGAGACTGGGAGTGCGTCTTGGACTCAAGTGGAGCAAAATTAATAAGATAGCAAAAGACAACAGATTGGTGGAAGACCGCATCATGGAATTGCTGGTTACTTGGAGAAATGACCAATCAAAGTGCCAACAAGTACCAATCATGGTGAACGCTTTGAGACAACAGAAGCTTGTTGGACTAGCACGAGATGTATCTGAAAGGCATGGCTACAGTGATGAGTCAGAAGTTGCACAAACTGCGACAAATAAAAAAAATCAAACACTAGAGCATGGTTAGTCAAAAATTGCTATTCTCTTAATACTGTATATTTTCTTTGATAGCTGAGAAACGTTGTAAGCACAATTTTCATTTCGTATACAGAGATAAATTTCAAAATACAGTACTTTCAGTTTTTGGTTCATTGAGAGAATTGAAGATTTAATTATTGGTTTACGTGTATCGTTCTAGTCAGTAATGAAACTATTGCTGGTTTCATTCATGACTGGCCAACATATAGATCTTAATATAAATGTTAATCTTCAAAAGGTAGGTTAATGTAGGGCCCAAGTATATTATCTTTTAAGCTGGTGCCCAGAGTCATTTTGTTGTGGCCAGTGGCAGGCTGACATACTTTCATTATTTCCATGAACACTCCATCCATTCCTTTTCATACAACTCATCGTGATAACTTCTGTCACAATACGTTAAAACATTGGTGATACTTTCCTAAATCAACAATGTGATAGACTATGTTTTTAAAAATTAGTGACTTTGGCATTGACATATCTGAGAGGGTGATGTAGTTGCAGACCTAGAATCTTACCCACTAACAATTTTTAAAATTACGTTCATGTTTTAGATCTAAAAATCACCACCCGACTATTTTTCTCTGCTTAACCCCAAAGGCCATCAGTTTTAATCTGAAAGCTAAAGTGTGTCCTCATTGTTAATTAATTCATACATTTTTTTTTTGTAAATTACAAATTTCTGACTCATTTGCCAATGTAAAATTATCATCAGTTTAGCAAAGCTTTTCAAATCAAAATCTTTAGGCTGAATACCAAGGATGTAGGAAAGGTTAGTAATGTACTACATAATAAAATAAATATACTTTTTTGTGGGAGCTCAAAGTATGAAATTAATATTGAAAAATGTTAGTAAGCAATAATAAATGTTGGTAATTACGAATGTAATAATAAAAATAGTTGAACAAATAACAAAATACCACTCTCTATGTATACAATTGAAAATTTATGTATTTCAGGTTGCTTAGATGATACCGACATGTTGATTATCTCTGAGAGTCTTGATAATGACTGGAAGTATTTTGGGATTTACTTAGGTTTGAAAAGATCTGAAATAAATCTAATTCAGTTAGACTTTTCACCACCAATTGTAGACGCCTCTATTGAAATGTTGGTACAGTGGCGAGAAAGACAGAAAGCTGAAATAAATCATCTCAAAGCAATTACTGAAGCACTGAACAAACTTGAACGAATAGATATCAAGGAAGAACTTGAGTCATACTACCAGAACAAATACAGAAAAACTGAAGCAAAGGTGTAAAGAACATTTTAAAGATGATAACAGTGCAATAAAAAAATGACACCAGAATATAATTTTACCATGGTTACATACACCATAGTCCACATTAGGTCACTTTTTAATCAAGAAATTATATTTTGCTCGCATTTTGATCATCCAAACTGCATACTTTTGATGCTGTCATCCAGGACTGTAGATATTGAATACAAAATATACTGAAAACATTAGTTTCAACTTTTTCTTTGGATAATTATGTATATATAAACCGAAAGGTCCACTGATTAATCTCAGATAAGAAAGTATAATACATACTCCAAGTATTGAAATCCTGATGATCACATAATATCGAAATATAGCATTTCAATACTTGGAGTATGTATTATACTTTCTTATATGTATATAAAGTGTATGTACGTTTTTCTATATTGATTATGCAATTTAAATGATAAATTGTTACTTATATTAAAGTTCAAATTAATATTATTCAATAAATATGATACACCATTTGTGATGGCATCGTGAAGAAAACAATTCTTAATAAACAATTTGTTTTACAAATTTACAAACATTTTATTACTCTGATTATGGAAAATTCAACACTTATTATGTACTTAATTTTTCCTCTAGCACTGACTTTGAAGTTTCAATGCGTCTTTAGTTTATAATGTTCAAAGCCCAATTCAGAAAGCGTCATGCATTGCAGCCCGACACGTTTAAATTTGTTGTCGCGTTGAGTACGGTCACATTGTGGAATATGAAACATTTACTATGATCATGACCTTAAGTCTGTCCCCGACGATATATTACGTTTGAATGTGTTGTACGCCGCTGACCGGGTTGGGCTTTAAATGAAATATAACTTAGTAAATTATCTTATGCTGATCTCGCATACTCTTCTGCAGTATACTCAGCACTGCACATCCAAAAATACTTTGGAAAAGAATGTTGCAAGTAAATCGGGTAGAATTGAACCCACGACCTCCAGATAAATGTGCTTAATGGGTTGTGAAACAGTAGCAGCTCCAGGAATTGCCCGACAGGGAGGTTCCCATGCCCCCAACCAGAGCAAATTGGGCGTGGTCAGGCATTACTCAAAATCTTTCAAAAGTGGTCCAGGGGCAAACCCGACTGAAAAATTTGACAATTTAGGGCTTATTTAGGCTTATTTAATCGATTTTAGAATGGGAACTTGGGCGGATGCAGGAGTACAGATGGTGCGATCATACCCCTAAATTGTGTCACGAAAAATAATTGTTGCCATGAACTATTGGTAAAATTTTTAAGGTATGAGAGTGCAATTTCCGGGCAGAATGTTCTGACAGAGCTTCCCACGCAGTGGCTTAACGGGGGCTTAACGGGGGGGGGGGCAGATTTACTGAGCTGACCAAGCCGTGTACCGGGCTGGGTAAGAAGAGAAAAGAAAGAGGGGAGAGAGAGGGAAAAGAGAAAGAAGGAGAAAGAAAAGGAAAGAAAAAGAGAAGAGAAAAATAGACAAAAATAAGAAGGAAGATATAATGAACCACTTCAAAAAGTGTCCATATCGCATTTGATTTAAGCCGCCTGATATTCTCCGCAGTGGTATAACCACCGTTGGAGAAGGGGAAAATATCAATCCATGGAAAATCTTTCCCGACTGAAGATGCGCTTATCGCACCGGAAAGTGTCCGAAACTCTCAAATTTGGTTCTTTGTTGGGGTAGGCCAATTTCCTCTAAAAATTGCACATTTTAGGGAGTTTTGCTCAATTTCGAAGAAATTAGAATTAACAACACAAAATTCTTTCGCGCGCATTTTTAAGGGTAAAGCTTGTGCTTGCCCTCCTTTGCCTTCTAAGTTATTTAAACACATAATAGTCCCAAACTCAAGAAAGAATTTTGAAGATAGATCGTTTTACCTAAAAGAAGGGCCTCATTGTGTAATGATGGTGAAAGAATATGTTTGTAATAAATAAAGCTATAATGAAAATGCTTATAGTCGGTTTAAAAAAAAAAAACGAGTGTGGCCATAATTATATAACATAAGCGCATTTCTTGTTGAGGTAGGCCAATTTCCTATAAAAAATGCACATTTTAGGGGTTTTGATCAATTCCGACGAAATTAGAATACTTGTGCTTGCCTTCTATGCCTTCTAAGTTATTTAAACACATAATAGGCCCAACTCCAATAGAAAGAACATTTAAGATATATCGTTTTACCTAAAAGAAGGGCCTTAATGTGTATTGATGGTGAAGGAATATGTTTGTAATAAATAAAACCATGATGAAAATGCTTATATTTAGTTTCAAACACACGTGTGTGGCCTATACTATGAATAAGATAAGCCCTATGTCGTATTTTTTTCAATATGGTTGGGGGGAGGGGTGTTGAATGGTGGGGTATCACACCGGGTCATAAATTACTAACCGGGAAAATTATTACCTTTGGTTACCAAGATGGTGTCCAAGATATAAAATATACGTAATACAGTAGAACCCCTACTTTGGGACACCCTTAAGGTGACACTTTTCAGTGAACAGATGGGGATTATCTTTTAACACTCAGACGACCAACTTCTATGAAGTGCACATCCCTATTAATGAGACACTTTTTGAATTTCTTGGTGAACCAAACGGTCAAATATATTCTGCCTCTATTTAGTGTGAACATCAGTATAGGCCTACTGCATGCGTTCGTATATTTTGCCCCCAAGACTGGACAAATTAGGAGCCGAGGTTGTGAATGAGTGACGGAACACTAAAATTCCTAATACTTTATTACCCAAGATTAGTAGACTCAGGCTGAGTAGACTGTTGGCGCATGCGATGTTTTATCAACCTCTTCAACATCGGATAACAGCCAATTACGGCCTAACACAAATTGAAGACAATAGTTAACATTTTACCAAATTAATTAAACGTTTTATATAATTTTCTAGACCAAGATGCGATCTGACGACTCCCAAAAAATCACGACAAATGACCCATTTATTAACGAAAGAGCGCTGTAGCCTGTACAGCCAGAGTAAATATTATTTTGTAGCACTGACATACCGGTATATCTCTGCCCGCAAAAACATCTGAATTTTGTAATACAAGATTCGAGTACAATTGCCTTTATTATAATTTGAGGATTGAGAAAAAGCGTGCTAACAATTAAGTATTATTTTCTATACATCAACAGAGATTAATTTGAGCGATGATGATAAATTATTTTACGATGTACTTAATGAACAGTGTTATATTTACTACGAATATTTGAAAACATGATTAATGAAATTTTTACTAACTTAAGAAGTCTGCCTGAAGCAACAATGTGGTTCTGTGCACGTCAGCACGGCATTCATTTGAATAAAAAAAGACTGAACTTGGATTGAGTTAACTTACTTAATTATTCCAACTTCCGAATGAAAAACCATTTTGTTGGTAACTTATGAAGGCTACTTTGTTTACTTTTTTACATTTTATTAATTTTATTTCCACTGCGTACTAAGTAAAATCACAATACACGCCTTAAGGTTATTTAATATTTAATATTTATTTAGCCAATGGAACAATATACAAATCAAAATCCAAGATGGCAAGCAGACCACAGTTATCAAACTTTGGCTCTCAAGCTCTGGTCATTCTTAGAAAATGATTAACAATAACAATACAAAAATATAACTTTCTTAACTAATGTACAAAAGATTGCAAGAGTAAAATTTGATTAAAAAAGATCAGTAAAAGACAGCAAAAAACTAAATTGCAAAAAATTAGATTACAAAAAAAAACAAAAATTATTACACTAGATGAGGAATTATTATAATTACAATTATTCTATTTACAATTACAGCTGTTAAAACAAGTCCATGCTTAACATCTAACAATTATAACAACATATCGCAAATACAGCAATAATATAGCGTCCAAACCAAAGTTAAAACATTGTTTTTGAAATAATTAAAAAAGACTAGATGTGAAAAAAATGATCGAAGTTTTTTTTTTATTGATAATTGATCAAAGATCTTATAAACACAAGATAGCGTTCTCCGCGATTTACGCGTGCAAATTCTGTAATAAGGCATGAATGGCGCCCTCTTGCTAAATTGGAAACTTTTGACCCTTGACCGCTCTGACCATACCGTACACCGAACCACTTTACCTTTCGGGTATCAATCCTGTGTGAACAGCAGAACAGGAACCATCTCAGATCCATGGCAACAGATAGGACGCCCTCTTCCAAAACTGATTATTTTTTCTCTTTGGTATAATAGCGCATGAATGGCGCCCTCTTGCTAAATTGGAAACTTTTGAACCTTGACCGACGCTTCTATTTGTTACGCGTAAATCGCGGAGAACGCTATCTTGTGTTTATAAGATCTTTGTAATTGATGTACTCGTGCGTCAGAGGGCGCTGTTCAATCTGCTCTGCATGTGTGTGAGCAAGGGGTCCTACTAAATACCACACGGGACCACTCGCGACCACACGGAACCACTCGCGAACACTCGGGACCACTCGCGACCACACGGGTGCAAAAAT